GATCGCAGCTGCTAGATGGACAGCAGAGTTCTTCGGTGGCTTCCAATAATCTGTGCCCTTCTCGGTATTGCTATGGTAGGAAATGATGTAGTTGTTCTCGCAAAGCATATCACCGTGTATGAACTCACTATTCCTGATCAAATATATGTATCGAGATTGATCGCAGATCTCGGTTGTCGTGCTTTTAGGGTTAATGCCAAATCTACCGTATAGGGAATTCATTAGGATCTTGTAAACATAGGCCATTGCTTCATTACCCGATTTCCTTGCATCTAACCTGCTCTCAAAGAGTGAGCTAACAAAGCTCCTGAATGGGCTTTCCATCTTCTTAAAGAGGTATCCTGAGATTGGGAGGACCGTGTAGCCTAGGCCTCTAGCATACTTTAACTCCTCTGTATAGTAGACTCCAACAAATTCTCCGGTTGGAAAGATGAGAGTATTATTCTTGTCACGATAGGGAAGAAAGGGATTTTTGATAGTCTTCGGACATACCACATATGCCTCAATAAAGCCAAACATGCTATCTAAGTCCATGCTTTCCAGATTAGAATGCCAGACAGGTTGACCACCAGGCATTGGAAATGTCTTCATTACAAAGGGATAGAGAGAGTTCACATCATAGTAGTAGAGGTCCTCGCCAATGGGCTTATAGACATCCGCATGACCACCATAATAACCACGCCTAATAAAGCTGTCTTCATTCTTGTTTGGGATGTGGATTGGAAAATTAGATACATTATAGTATTTGAAACGAAAGATGCTAAGAGCAAGTGAGGAAATGGTGATCTTGCTTTCAATGTCCATCTTGTACAGCTTCCAATATATCTCTTGAGCTTTTTGCATTACTCCACCCAATAGACGAATATCCTGTTTCATATAATCCAACAATTCTGTTCGATTATGAATCAGATTCTCCACTTGAAGTTTTTCATATGGGATTGAGATGGAGCCTTTAGGGCCAAGATCGGGGCAAAGATTCTTAGCAAGGTTGTTCAGTTTTCCAGGGAGTAGATTCAAGGAGTCTCTGAAGCGGAATAACAATTTCTTACCTGAATAGACAGCTAACTCGTAAAGGTGATTGTTCCTCATCAGTGGTTTAAGCTTCAAGCTCTTGTGATGATATGCTAGGTGCTGAATCAAAATAATTCCATCGAATCTAGAGAAGTTGTGGAAATAAATAGTGAAAGTCTCTTTCTCTTTTCTAACAATACTTAAGATCCTTAATACAAAGTCATATAAGACTTTAGTACTCCTTTCTTCAAAGGAATCCAAGATTATAGAGTAGTCTTCACTGAAGTAGTGATTAATCATGATCTTATTGATTTTTTCACCGGGACGAACAATCATTAGACCAGCTGCATAAGGCTTATGAATGTTATCAATATATATAGTCTCGGTATCGGCAACTATGAAAGG